TATGGAGGGATTCAACTGCCCCAATAGCAAGACTCTGATGTCTGAATTGGAATCCCATCCCTGCCCCATCCAGGACCTGAGTTGTTGCGCCAGGGTTAGCTTGACTGCAACCATCTGGCAGGCAGAAGCTGTGCCCTTTGAGTTCAGAGGACAGGGCTGTCCCTTGCTGCCAGCTGGCAAGACTGAATCTGCTGCCTCTCCTGGGCTGAGCCGGTTGTTAAAAGCTGAGTCACGAGAGCCCATTCTGTCCTCAGAAGACAACTGTTTCCAAGGATAGGATCTACGCTTGGAGGGCAAGGCACAAATCCAGAATTAATGACCAAGTTGCTTCTCTTGAGTCAATGTTCCACCAGTCAGGTGATCTCTGGCACAAGTGGCACCCATTTCTCTACCGTAACAACTCCGCTGTAGAGTCTGTTGATGTGCATGATCACCTTGAGCATCCAGGGGTTTAAAATAAGCCTAAGGCAGGATGAGCTGCAGGCGATTGAAAGAACTACTTGCCAATCTAAAAAGGTCTGGTGGTGCTGCATCTTTTTATTTATAGGTACAGATCTAATGATGTGGTTCATATCTCACATTAGATATGTTAATTTACATATATTGGACATCTATCATTTATTATGCTGTGGAATTTTTATACCACATACTACCTAGACCCAATAAAAGAACCTTTAATAAATTAGTTATGCAAAATTAGTAAAAACTCCAGTGTCAAGTGTGAGACTAGGCTGAAGCTGCCATAACCTAAAGATGAAGCAGGCACGCAAGCAGAAAGGACAAAAGCCAGGACTTTTGTCTAAAAGATCCCTTCGGGGGAGGCAGGTAAGAAGGAAGGAAGTCCTTAAGGAAACAAAGGAAAAAATGTCACCTGAACCAGACAAAGGAAGCTGGGACTGAGCAGTAAATTAACAAGGCAACAGTAGCTGCCAGTCTTGTGAATCAAAGCAAGAACTTCTGGGGATAAAAGGGGTCCTGAAGCCTGCCCACCCCTTGAGTCCAAGTCTTTGGATCCAGACTTGGCGGCTTCCGCCCTTCTAGGCAGCGCCTAGCAGCCTAGTTGAGGACAATGGATGAGTGCATGCGTGTAAGAAAGCAAACGTACATTGTAGCCAGTAAAGTTTTGCTGTTACTTTAAATTCAGAGTCTCTGGGTATTCCAAAGAACCTGTGGTACCTCCGTATTCAGTTGAAAGTGATTTGTGTGTGTCCCTAATTATTTCCCAGCTGTTGATCAGGGCTGCGTGTCTGTCTGCTCTAGCCGCACCTCTCTGGAAAACCCAGGTAGAAAGCAATGGGGGCTGACAAGATCCGCGTGCCTCAACAGGCTGTGAGTGTGTGAGTGAGTGACCATAAGCCGAACCTGGGAGCGCATGTAACACAAGTCTTCTGGCAAGTTGATTAGGGAAAAAATGTGGCTCATGGCAAAACCATGTTTGTACCAACTTACATGGTTAGCTGTTGTGATAGAGAATCTTCAGGCAGGCAAATTTGATTGTGTCACCTACAGAGCAGCGTTACGTTACAGCAAGTCCTACCAGCGATGTTAGATTGCTGAGAAGACTCAATTTTTTGTAAATGCTCAATTGTTGTAAATATACCAGCTCTAGTGCGATTTTTCCCTAGAGTCAACTTTCAGTATCAGACAGGACTTCTGGGAACCAAAATACCTCCCAATTTTGCAATAATGAAAAAGTACATATTATGGGAATTAGGTGTGTCATAGCAGGAAAAAGGGAAAGTTGTAAACTATCTTCCCCTCTGTATATCCTGGGAAGCACAAATTTTGAAGTTAATTAGAAGAGGGTAGAAAGATTTTCTATCCTCTTGCGAATCTCCAGTATTTACTAATATTGAGGACCTGAGGAAATTGTCATCACATCGCAGGAGTTGGAACTTTTGTTGCATTCTGCTGAAAAATGGGCCTGGTTTACACAAAACACTAAGCTAGAATGTGGTTTAGCAATTAAACAGTCGGATTAGGACCAGGGAAATGCAGGTTCAAGCACACTGTCAGCTATAGAACTTATATAGTGTCTTCTCTTAGCTCAGCCTACCTCACAAGGTGGTTGTTGGAGAAAAATAGAGGGTTGCATATCTTTTGTGCTTCTGGAAGAAACGGCACAAACCTAATTAACTGTATGACGTTAGCTTAATATATTGCATGAACCTCACCCTATTGTAATGCTTTCAATAAGCAAAACTCAACTTGCCATCTGTGAACTCAAGAAACAGTACAAGATTCCAATGTTACTGGTGGGCATTACATTGGCTGCAAGTTCTGCTAAAGGACCAAAAGTCCTAAACGTTTGGGGAGAAAAACTTCCCATCCAGTGAGCAGAAATAGCATAATTTGCAAATACCTATGTTCCACACGGAGCGGGTCCTATGCTACAAAACTAATCTAGTACTGGATATAAATATATTGAAGATGCAAAACTTCATGATTGGACTACTGCAATGCCCTCTATGTGGGGGTGCCCTGGAAGACCATCTGGAAGCTACAGCCAGCTCAAAATGCAGCAGCGCAAGCAGCAATGGGCACTCGTTATGCTCATGTGTCATCACTTCTACACAAACGGCACTGGTGGCCAACGGCTCCTGGGTGCAATTGAAGGTGCTGGTGTCACCTATAAAGCCCTTCATGGTACAAGGCCTGGTTATCGGAGGGACCGCCTGCTTCCAATTGCTTCTGTCTGCCTGGCATGATCAGGCAGAGTGGGTGTGCCCAGGTCAATGCCACAATCTTGTGAGACGGAGGAGGGGTGTCTCCCCCCCCCCCCCTTGGAATAGCACGCCCTGGGAGATGTGCACAGCTCCTGCTCTCCTTGGTTTGCAGAAGTCTCTTAAGACCTGGTTCTGTTCCCAGGCCAGGGGTCAGGGTGACTGTTGAGCCCCCGATGTATTTTTTGCATGTTGGGGAGTGTTGTTTTGGTCCAGGCAATTGTGTGGTTTTTCATGTGTTTTTTATATATACATTGGACCTATTTTACGCTGCCCAGAGTCATCTTTAAGTTGGGTGGCTGGACAGGACAGGACACAGCATATAAACTGGTCAGCACCTGAAACAAAACTAAGTTTTAAAACTTTCTTGGAAGAAAAGGAGCCAAACAGAAGTTCAGATACAAGAGAGAAACTCAGCCATGTATTACAGATTATGGCTTGTGTCAAGAGAAAATGAATGGGTCACCAATACTGCCAGTGTGTGTCTTGGCAGTTTGCTCTTCTGTACTGCGATTTAAAAATAAAGGTTGCGTCTGGCCCAACTGGCCCTGTGACTAACACTCAATTACGCCCAGGGATGTTATTTTTCACACCAACACATTGGCAAAAGGGAACAGGTAGTAAACACAGCATTTAGGCATAAACCAACAAAGCAAACAGTGCCCTCATTAAGAAGCTCTCCAGACACCACCACCTAGGAAAACAACTGAACCTTTTCAGTGGCAGCTTTATGGAACGGAGATGGGCCAGGCTGGGGAAAACAGATGGCCAATGTCCAGAAGAACAGAGGGCCACTCACTAACAAGGATTATACCCAGATCTTCAACAGCCAGTTCCAATATTCTGCTCGTGACACAGCACATAGCTGAACACATAAGGCACAGCAATGGCCAAAGAGCCCCTCAACCTATTTAGCTTTCTTAGGCACACATTGCATTAGCCAGACTAGTCTTAGCCCAACCGATTCACATCCGATGGAAAGAAATACAGCCCACGTCAGCCCAGCAGCATTCACTCCCATCTCCCAGCTTGGCTTCCTGGGGGTTCTTGAGCTTTGGACCCTCTCTCCGAAGGGCAAAGTTAAAACCCATCAGGAAGCTGGAGCTGCGCCATGTGCGTTCTCTGGCTGCTGGCATTAGTTCCGCACAGCTGGAAGCATCCGGAAACCCCATGCCCTGTCTTGTGAAGCAGAATCAGAGTTCAAAGCAACAAGGTAGTTCTCTGAGTGGCCCCTTTTCTGGAGCTCACCAGAAATCTCTGCCTGGAAAGGAAGGCCTCCCTCATTGTCTCCAGCCGCAAGCATCAGATGGACCCTTCCTTGTGAGCCACAAGCCCCTGGTGAGCATTACTTGCAAGATCCTGTGCCAAAGGATCGTCTTACAGAGCTCCTTTATACAGGCTGACTTTAGCTGCATTCACAAATGTTGGCTCAGTACTGAGTGATACACGCTAAGCTTGGTTACCATTAACCTTGGATTTTTTTTTTTTAAATTTAGTGACAACCTTGTGCAAACCCCCAGAACAGGTTAACTCAGTAATCAGTTAAGTATGCACTCCTGGATGTGTGCTTTCAATGAATTCACATTTGGAATCACAGTGACGGCCCTCCACTTTACTCTAGTTACGTCAAGGTTCCCTGCTCATCATCATCATTTCCAGGAAGGAAGGAAACAATACAACTGCAGTCTCATGCAGGGCTGCGCTGACCTCAGACAGGACAGCATTCCAATCTGAAGAAACTTGTGCAGGTAAAAACAGAGCCTCCCCCGTGGCTCCTCTGAGTTTTCCCTCCCCATCCTAGTAACAGCTCAAGCCCGTATGGGTGTTTTCGCAAGCCCTCTTGGCACCTGGCCTACTGGTAGTCACTGGGTACACACAGTGTGCAGGGCACAAGGTGGAAGAGGCAGCCAAGGAGCACAGCTGCCAACCTCCCTTCAGTGGGGGCGCAGGGGGCACGGGAAAACAAAATTACTTTCACAGTAACTTCCCAAAGCCTAGGGACTTGTTTTTCAGAATTGGTGCTCAGCTGACACACACTCTAGCACCAGAAGTACTTCAAAGGGAAAGAAGAGCTCCTGGAGAGGCCCTCCTTCACCATTCCCAACTTTCTGTAAAAAAAAAAACCAAGTCTCCTTCAAGTCCAGTTCAATTTCTAGACAAGTCCAGAAAGAGAGACCTGCTACTGCCCTCTTCTACCCAACTCCCAGTCTGGCCTACAGCCGAGATTTTCTTGGTGGTTTTCTATCCGAGTGTTAATCAAGATTGACCCTTCTGAGCTTTTTTGAGATCGGGCAAGGTCCAGCTGGGCACCACGTTACTTTTATTTTTTATTTATATTTCAAATAGCTGCAACACTTGGATGCCACTGGTCCCTCATGGATTTTGCCAGTTACTCAGGCTTGTTAAACATGACAACCTCAAGGAAGCATGACATGTGGTGGGAAATCGTTTTCCTAGATTCTCACTACAGAGAGAAGCACCCTGAAGGAAAGAGTCAAGCTGCGCTTCCAGTCATACCTGGGCTATGCATGGATGTGGACTGCCAACAAATTGTTCATCCCATTTTACCACTTCCCAATGTTATATTGAGTGTGAATATATTATCTCCAGGGTGTGACTAAAACAAAGTACATGGAACAGATTCTCTTTTCCAGAGCAGAAGCAAGCAAGAACCAGGCTATCAGTTGTCCATAGGTACTACATATGCACTTTTCTGGCCCATTTTTTTCCAAGGAACCTCTCATATTGCCACTCTATTTCTAGCACCCCAGGCCATTCTGCACTGGTTGTCTGAAGCTTAGCTTCACAAACCTCATGGCCAACTACCCAATAGCTCCTTACAGAGTTTAACTCTGGCACTTTGCCTGAAAGGGATCTAGTATGACCTTTGGTATCATTTTGTCTGAGCATGTTTATGGTAGAACTCATCACTCTGTCCTACAGCCTGCTCTTTGCAGGCTAGGTTCCTTCCTCTTATACACTGAAGCACTTACCCTGCTTCTGTAAGGGAAGAAAACAGGGCAGGCCAAGATTCTACAGCTAAAGAGACAAAGATCTGGGAAGAGCCATAAACAGGAGACAAATATTCCTTATTTGGATTTCAGCAACACCACACAAATTCATTTCCTGGGTGTTTCCATCTATTTCCAGTATCTGAAGCGAGAGTCAGTGGCTGGAAAACATTGCTCTGTTCAAGGATGAAAGCAGCAAAAATCCCACTGGGTCTTGTGTGAAGGACCATCAGTATCAGCCAGGAGTCAGGAACATATTTCTATGATGGGCTCGGCCAGGATTAGAGATATTTGTAAATTAACTTCTCAGGTATGGTCTGCACCTCCATCTTAACAGGGCACTTGTAGAAGGAGGAAAGCAGCACCTCTGTGTAGCCAATCAGGAAGTAAATCTTATGTGGTGGGAGATTCTGTATTAGAATGGCACAGATTATCAAAGTGTTGGCCCGACGCTTCAGCACAATCTCATCAGCCAGACAGCCGTGAAAGGTGCCAAAGATGAATTTGCGGATGAAGACGTCCTCCAGCGTGCGCTCAGCTGCCTCATTCTCACCGTTCAGGTTAGCTACAGGAGAGACCAAGAAAGCAAGGGCCAGTTTTATTTTTCTTGTGGGTCCAAGAGCACCCATCAGAAGTCCTAGAGTATAGCAAGCCTTAGAGAGTCACTACAATGTATTCATTCTACTCTGTCCGCTAGACATCAACATGACTAAGCCCAATGGGGGGTGCTTTGTGCCACATGCTATTGCTCCAACCTCCAACTGATCAGACCAGGGCAAAAGACCTCAGACACCTACTTGCAAAGACTTGCGGCTGCTGCCATTTAACTTAAAGCACGACCGTGGCGTTTTATTGGGGGCATTTGAAAAGCCATTCTGACCTCTGGCTGCAGCCCTGCTTTTCCCAGCATCCTCTGGCTCCACAAACTGCTGGGGGGGAAACAGGAGGAAGCAGCTGGAGCCCAGAGGCTCCTCTCCTTCCCAGCCCTCCCCATAAATCCGCTGCTAGGCAAAGGCGACCTCGGGAAACTTGGAGGAAGGAAAGGCAGCAAAGGGAAAGGGGAAGCCAGGCTGGAAAAGCCAGCAACGCAGCGGGCGGGGGTGGGTTTCTTTTGTGGGGCGCGGGGGAGGCAGGGCGGCTGCTGCAACGGCATCGGAAACGGCGGTTCCTGAGGCGCAGCTATACGAGGGGCGGCCCGGCG